CTTCACTAGCTGAAAACAATAGATATTATTTTGTATCTAGTTTAAATACAAAAAGTTAACAATATACAGAAATATCAAATATATACTAAGACGAAAACAAAATAATTTATTAAAAGTCAAAATAATCATACCCGCCTGGAAGAAATTGCTATTCAACGATACGGCAATATTTGTACCATAAAGTATTCATTAATTCAATACCTACAAGTTGACTAAGCCATATTCTTTTGCTTATAAGAAATCTCATATCTCATAAGCAATAAAATATTATCCATTCCTTTTTTTGGAAGGTGACAAAATAATTTCTTAATAAATAAAGTGCTTTTTCCCTTGGCACAAATACAAACATATAGTTTACTTTACAAATATACGAGGCACTGAAGGGCTTCTATCGTATTAAGCATTAAGCTGTTTGAGAACTACCCCTTTATCGCCCGCCATTACGATTTTTTAATATAATTACCTACATACATGGAATGACATCAGAATCCATAGAAAAACATTGTTATGTAACTATTAGTAAATCCTTAATAAGATTTCTGCTAAGAAGACTAACACCCGGTTACAGAATTGAGGTTAGAGAGGTTGAGAAACTTAAACAGGTTTTCTGTTCTGATTTTGATGACGTTCTAATTTCAATGAAGAATATATACGTAACTGTATTAGTTTCTTTTTTTTTTCAAGCTTAGACTAAAGTTTTAATCTAAGACTAACACTAAAGTTTTAAAACTGGCAGAATCACCTCAGAAAAATGGTCGGCACTCATACGATACCAATGATACGATAACTACATCAGATGCGGTTGACGTATAGGCTAAGGGTATTTGACAATATTAAAAATAAGTTGCGTATTATGGTCACGCTGTCAGATAATAATATAATTAAGTTTATTTCTTAAAATCTAAAAAGATGCCCTGTGATTGCTTGTCGTCGCAACTAATAACAGGGTTCTGTTAACATGTTAACTGTTAAAAAAGTTTTATTAGAGATACGCAAAACATGTATTTATACATACAATTTGTAAATCATTTTTATAAACAATACCAGAGTAGATACAAATACCACGTGATGAGCACCATTACATGGAGCAGCGTTTTTTGCGCTTTTTTGGCTATTCAAACTTTAACAATTATTATCATCAGAAGTAGAATAGATTCTTATCAAAGGGTTTAGCCGGATACGTATGACGAGTCGGCCCCCAAATGGGAATCGATATTGAAACTTATGTTTTAATATCGACTTGATGTTCAAACACGATTTATGAACTTTTCGCGACCGACTTCCGCTTTGACCTTGAGATAGAGAGCAAAATATCCGTATGCTTGACTATTACTGAATGTGATATATCTCTGAAGCTAATTAAGATAAACAAGTGAAACTAACGCGAGGTGTTAGGTTACATTACAGAGTATATCACATATATTTTTTTATAATTTTTAGAATAAAAAATTACGTTAAAAAAATAAAAATAAAAAAAAACATGTTTTTTTTTCTGAGTTCTCTGTGACTTACAATCACGAAATTAATATATGTTATGCTCCTTTGTGTGCTCTATTACCCATAAAAATTGCGTGAAAAAAAAGTTGGTGCAACACAACGAAAAAAAATTATATGTGATTTCTGTCTTATGGTATACCCCTGTATTATAAGGTTTTCACATTACATCATTGTTTTTTTTTCAAAATTTCACATCAGCTTGTTTTAAAACATACGTAACTAGTCTTAAAAGATGGGATAATAGTTAAAAAAGAAATGAAAAAAAAAAACAGCCAGTGTTCAATACTTATTATTATTACTTTTTCGTGTCTATCAAAATACAAGAAACAAAATATTAATCATCGTCACTGTTGTAATTAATTACAATCGGAACACTTTGAGTCGCAAATAACTTAGTTAGGACCTCAGCAGGACGTACGATTTTGGACAAATATCATCCATATGATAGATAATAAATAATAGCTGCTACATGAGAACAGCATCCCACTGTACGTTTGCCATTGGGGCAATCACAGCAATAACGAAGAATACTATTGTAGTCATTACCTTCGGAAATATAGTGAATGTAAATTCGATAGACTTTTCTATTTATATGTCTTGATTTTACTTCTGCTTTGATGATATTAGGTGCTGATTTCACATATTGTACTGAGAGATTATTTTGATCGTCCATTATTTCGGCCAAGTTAAATGCTGCACATTTAGAAGTAGAAGCTTTTTTGTTAATATATGGGATAAGTCAACACTTCTTACAAAAAATATCATTAACTATTACGATTTTATTCAAACAGTCACTAAACACTTTAGCTTCTTCTTCATTCTTCATAATTTTTTTATAACCAGGAACCTTACACAGGTACTTGTTACAATTTTTACACTTTCTCGACATTATTACTTAATAATGATTTGGTTCGATAGTTAATAATTTAAAAATGCTGATACAAAATACCTATGACAGAATTGAATTCCCAAACTGCCTTCTTGTGTAATACAAATGACTGCTACTTTAGCTAAACAAACGATGCAGTAAACAGCTCGATAACAAGTTCGAACTTGTTTGTTTATACACTTACACTACAAGGCGCGAATCACATATAATTTTTTTTCGTTGTGTTGCACCAACTTTTTTTTCACGCAATTTTTATGGGTGATAGAGCACATAAAGGAGCATAACATATATTAATTTCGTGATTGTAAGTCACAGAGAACTCAGAAAAAAAAACATGTTTTTTTTTATTTTTATTTTTTTAATGTAATTTTTTATTCTAAAAATTATAAAAAAATATATGTGATATACTCTGTAATGTAACCTAACACCTCGCGTTAGTTTCACTTCTTTATCTTAATTAGCTTCAGAGATATATCACATTCAGTAATAGTCAAGCATACGGATATTTTGCTCTCTATCTCAAGGTCAAAGCGGAAGTCGGTCGCGAAAAGTACATAAATCGTGTTTGAACATCAAGTCGATATTAAAACATAAGTTTCAATATCGATTCCCATTTGGGGGCCGACTCGTCATACGTATCCGGCTAAACCCTTTATTGGCAGTGTGTTTATGACGTCTCACACAAACATTTAAAATTGTTTTCAGATAAGCGTCAAATACCCTATTGAAAAAAGCAAGTTGTGCAATATATCAGTACATTGGAAAATGTTCTGTGAATATTAAATTCATATTGTAAATACCTCTGGTCTAATTAATACCAATATTAAAGAGATTTAATTGTTTCTTCGCATTGAAAATATTTTAATACAGTATTTTAAAAGATTTAAAAAAAATCACCTACTTGTATCTAAATCATACACGGGTAGGCTATGAGTAATTTACGCGGGCGAAGTCGCGGGATAACCTAGTATTATAGTTATAGAACGTTACTTATTGTAAAACAAAAACAAAACCATGTATGTCTGAAAGCAATAATTTCAAAATTGGTGGAAAACAAAGTAATTTATGGGAAAAGCTTAGAACCTATAGCTAATTAATTAAGGTTTTGTGTGAATTGGCTGAAACACTTATGACGATGAATAAAGCCGACTGGGAACTTATTATTACATGTAAATTGCACTCATGGGAACCCAGAGAAGGTCAATAGGTAGTTTATTATAATTGTACCTATGTATCCTAGTAACAAATTAACCAGAGTTTTAGAAAATGCGCGTTTGCAGCAGTAATTTCTTGAGCATTAAACAATAGATACTTTTACCATTATACGTCGACTATCTTTTCGCCAACGTCTTCACCCATGTGCTCCTTTATCATCTATACATAGCTGTAACCCGCGGCATCGCCCACGTGGTCAAAGGGTACTGTATGCACACCGGCCTGGTATACTGGAATGTTAAGCTAATCTTAATTAAAAATCTGCCAGTAAACATCCACCTTTATAACATCATAATTAGCTTATAAGCGTCCTCACTGCCCCATAGATGGATTCAAATTAGAAAAATCTACCGGTGTTTTTGTTGATAACGCACATGTCTTCATAGATAAGTCTAGTTACTCTTCTAACCATTTTAGTGTGCAGTAGAATCGACACTTGCAAAAAATACAAACAAATGTTTTCTTTGAAATAATAGTCCTTTTATTAAAGTCGTATTTGACTACTGTGCTTATTCTGAACTTTCAGATAAAGGCTTTCATTTTAAAGGTTTAAAACAGACCGATGCTGATGCAAGATTCTACGCCTGATCCTCATAGTAACATGACGGTCAGCTTGTTCTTGCTTTCTCAATTCAGTGTTCAGATTAAATTTTGCCAACGGATATTCTGTCATCTTTTCGATATAGTTCTATCCACTCAGTATTTTTTCACCCAATTTATAATTTAACTCTGATACTTTAAATTTTAGTCATTCCTACTTATCGGCAGTTTAGTTCATTTTTCGCAAACATACTTTAACAGACAGACAGACAGACAGACAGACGGACATGACGAAACTATAAGGGTTCCTTATTGACTAGGGAACCACAAAATTGAAAATAAAAGCGACTTTATTTGAAAAAAATTAGAAAAACAATAAAGAACAAACAACAAACATAAAAAATTTAAAACCCCATTTTTAAAATACAGTAGCGTCATCTAGCGAAAACAGCTTATTGTAACATTAAATTTTTTCGCCAATTCGTCCCGTTAAAGAATATTATTGGAAAAACCGCAAAATTGAACATTTTAACATTGTCAATACTGCTCCACTTCTATAAGTCATAGCGGTGATGTTATATAGCCTATAGCTTTCATGGATAAGTGGAGTATTTAACACAAAAACATTCCAGTAGTTCCTAAGATTATAGAGTTCAACCAAACAAACAAACTCTTCAGCTTAACCACATATTTATTTATGAAGATTAGTATAGATTCATAAATAAATATGTGGTTTTTAGAAGCAGGTTAATATTTAACCACATTTCAGATTTCTATGCCAGTAGAGCTGTAATTTATGTGATCTATTTAATTATTCAATGAGTCGACTCTTTTCAACTTCTTATAGATTTTTTAGTTCATCACTTTCAATGAAGAGTTTTTACAGGAAGTACAGTATTTTAATAGTAATAAATTTTACTAGCACATAATGTACACGCCGCCACACTTCGTGCTTCACACTAGTACCATAAGCAGAGTTCTGTTAGTAGAGAAGTTTTATATAAAGAGTGGTCTGTACAAAGTCAACAATGTATAGTATAGTCTGACGTTTGGCCATGTGTACATACATAGCTTATACTCTATTATAACCAAAACTTCTTTAAATTTTGAAAAACTTAGCCTACATCTTATAGGATTTCTTATTCTTTCAAAGCTAACAAAGAATTGAAATAAAACATATTTAACTAAAAGAAATAATATATTAAGTTTTTTAAAGTGTGTGACACTATTATCACAGGATTAATGTCGTTATAACAGCAACAAAAATACACCATAACAGTCTAGTCATCCCAGTTGACTTGGTGGCAATCGTGCCATACAAATGTACCTTTTAAACTTTGTGGTGCTTCTAGCGCCAGATACAATGGTGCACGTGCCCCTCTTTCTGGTGTAAAATCACCCATACCATTTGTCATATCGGACTTAACAAATCCAGGATGAACACAATTTATAGAAATATTTTTCCCCAGCTCATTAAACTGTCTCTGTTGAACAAATGTTAATGCCGACATTGCCACTTTAGACACTTTATAATCACCATAATGACCAGCAAAAGATACAAAAGCGTTTTTCCCATTTTTAGCTGCTTGTAAGAAATCATTAACAAAATCTGTAATCTCATCTACAGTAAGGTTGTCTTTCACTAATGTGTCGAGCCATATTTGTTTTCGTATGTTTGATAATAGGCCCCAATCACTACTAAGGTTAATTATACGGGCGTCATCTTTCAATAAGGGATACAAAATTTTTGATATCCTCAACAAACTCATAAAATTTGTGTCAATTAATTTCTTAGATTCTTCGTATGTAGAAACAGACTTGTCGAAATCAAGGAGGCCGGCGTTATTAACGAGAACATCTATTCCAGAATAATTACTAGAAATGTGGGTAGCAAATGTTTGCAAACTCTCTTCACTTGTAATATCCAGCTGATGAAAAACAGGATGTAGGTCTAATTCTTCTAATTTCTTGACAGCTTGTAAACCTCTTTCCTCATTTCTAGCTGTGAGGAACACAGTCCCATTAAACTTTTGACATAATCCTTTCACAATTTCGAATCCAATACCTTTGTTTCCTCCCGTTACAACTGCTACTTTGGTTTCCATTTTGTACGTTTAAAAATTAATTTATGTATAATATGTAGAAAACATTAACTTCTAAAAATAAACAAATAGATACATTAAATTTTACACCAAATAAAATCTACTCGTACGAACTTTGTACATTTTAGTCGGTGATATGGTGTGCTGACAGCTGACTGACAGTGACAGACGGTCTTCTTAGCTATATGACATTAGGTTATGTTGATTATTCTAAAGCAAATGGTCTGTTTCATACAGCCAAGTAGGTAAATGTAACAATATGTCAGCTATAGAATAAATAAAAAGGCTACGGCATTCACAATACTTTACTGGAAAATTTCTTAGTGAAAAATGCTAAAAAAATCCAGCAGTTCCAGTTACTGTAAGATGACACTCGAACCCACGACCTTTTGCAATCCGGGCGACTGCTCTAACCACTGACTACCCAGGACCTAACAGGACCGACGAATTTTTCAAGCAAAACAAACAAAATTCTTATAAATATACTTTACCTAATTTAATTTGATGGAATTTTGAAATCTAATAAGAAAATATTTAAAAAAAAATAGTTTCAAAAGTCAAACTATATGTCGCTACGTTACATTCTTGATTTCTCCATGACAACCCTACCAGTTCTCTTTCATGTTTAAAAGTAAATTAGTTTTTTAAGCTCAATAAAAAAACTCATTCTATTTGTAATTTTTCGTATTTGTATTGATATCTAAGTCTCGAACTTTTCAAATTTCAGTTTTTTTAATATTTTAGTTAATAGGAACGGAAATGATTGTCTTTGGTTCATTCGTTTCCTGCAAAATTCAACTTTTGGTAGTGTCGCCATCTAGTGGAGGTGCTTATTTATGGGAAATTAAATACAAAATTGTCCTAACATTTACACAACAATAATTTTATTTAATATTATTAACCACTACTTTCAGACTTGGCAAACGTAACAAACAAAAAAATCAGTTAAGAGTTTGTATTTTTCTTAATGGAGAAGTATACACTTTTTTTTCTATTTGAAATGAAAGAATAAGCACAATCAAAAAAGATTATGAAAATTTCTTAAATATTTACATAAATAAAAAATATATGGGACTGGAAGTTGCTTTCGCTAGAGCAATTTCGCTTCCCACATTATAATAGTGTGTGACATCACCAGTGGTCGGAATTAGGTAGAGTTATTCATGTACTTACACTGATTTCATACAGCGAAAGAATAAAGTGAATATGCCTCATATCCCGAGATTAATTTTAAAGAGCAGAAAAAATCCCGTGTTTTTTTAAATAAAAAGTTATTTACTTTTACACAATTTAAACTACTGCACGCACGACGTTGCCAAACTTACATCAATGACATCGGATGTCCAAAGTTGCAAAATACCAATACCCGCGATGTTGCCACGAAGGTCCACATTAATATCAACATTTCGATGCAAGTACATAAATAACTCTACCTAATTGATCACGAGAATGCAACTCAGTCGAATAGAGAAAATTTCATTTTTGACTTAAAGTACTAAACCTAGAATAGTAAGTAGCAATCGGCATTTTTTTCAACACGAAATAGTCTGCCATGTAAGAATTGGGCGATGTAATGCACACAACTAAAATGTTAACACTAATGCGTTTTCGCAGCATATCGCTATCGACGCATACGTGGAAATTATAACACACTTTCATAAACTAGACGCACACAATCATAGTTCTAGACGTTTCACGAAGTTACACTATAAAATGACCTGAAATAAATAGTGTGAGGACTTATCTATATCGATAAATTTATTTGTATTGCATTCTTTAGTTTTACACATATTCGTATATATCTACTCTAACATAAAAAGTTAAGATTTCATTATTTGTTTACATTGAATAGGCTCCGAAATTACTGGACTGATTTTAAAAATTCTTTCATTCGGGGAAGCTACATTTTAGGCAGGTGAAATAGGCTCTAACTTACCTGAGTCAAGTAATGGAAAAACAGCTAGTTATAAAATGAAATATATATTGATAAAAAAGAGAAAAATAAGTCAGATATTACTAAAATAATAACATGCGCAGCAGCGATGTAAATGGATCGAAACTCAGTGGATATTTACTATCAGAATCTCGTAACACAAGTTCCGATATTCAATAATCTAATAAAGTAATAGTAAGTTGTATTAAGGATTGGCTACACTGTTCTTTTTTATTTTTTAAATTATTTATATTTATGTTATTATTCCTTATAGTTACCGATAAATGTATACAAAGTTTAATCCGCAACTCATCTGGCTGGTATGGAGATAAACTTAAATAACAAAAATTTTCCTCGCTAAAACTTGAGAACGGCTGGACCGATTTGGCGGATTTGGTGTTGAAATGTTAGTTGTAGTCCATGGAAGGTTAAAAGTACGTAGTACGCCGGGTCATTTTGTTATTAAATAAGAGGTTTTTGCATTTTTTTTTTTTTGTTAATATTATTGTTTGATGATGTTAGACGATAACTGATTGATAAATGTTAAAGCCACCCCAAATTCTAAACAAGTCTACCATGGATAAAGAATCCTAAAAGTGTAAGTGATAGTAGTTTTAACAGAATATCATCATATAAATTCGATATCGACATACGATTGTGGTGACGCAACACTGACTTTTTAACGGTGTGGCTAAATTCAATATACTCGTACCTATTTTTAACTAGTGACAAATGTCAATATTTTCTAAACGTAATTTATAGAATATAAAAGTACGATACTTTCAGTTTCTTCAAAGAATTTCAATAATATTAAGAAACTAAAACGGAGACATAAAAATATAAAACAAAGTTCTATACTAACGCGTTATCAATAATAATGATAGGCATCAACAGTAATGTAAACATGAATACACAGTTATAATGCTTCTACAAGTAAAAATTCATCATTATTTAAAAAAAAATAACTGGTATGTCACTCGTAAGTTTAGAAATGTAAATAATTGAGTAATTAATTGTTTTTTTCCGAATATATTACATAATTGATGGAAAAAATACTGATGGGTTAAAAGTACCATTATCCTATTTCAATCTGAATAATAGTGAACTCCTTTTACATTAAAATACGCTTCAAGTGAGTATTTTAGTCGGGGCTCTTTCCATGCGCGTTGCAATCCGCGAATGGCGCGTAAGGTGGGGAACAATGAGTTTAATAACTAGAGAAGCAAGCCCATACAATAGACGCGCTAAAAGCACTTTTTCAAAACAGGTCGTAGCTTTGCAAACAACGTTTATACCATATAATAGATAGAAATAGATTTACTATGTTTTTAACTTTAAATTAGAGAAAGACAGAATATGTGCGAACAACAGAATGAACGCAAAAATGGGTAACCGATACTGTATTGCTAGCTGTCGAAAAGTATACCCCTTATGATGAATGAATGAACGAACGAGAAATGTAGACATATGTATAAAATCAATTTGTAAAATATTGTAACTATGAAAATTTCTTTATTGTACCTATTCAAAATCGAGAAAATAATCGTTCTCTGTCTTTTATTATTTCGCCATTTTTACATTAAGCTGAAACTTCACACATATTTAGTCTAGATGGGAAAATAAACTACATACAGATAAACGAATGAAATTGATCAAATATAATATATAAAATGTAACGCCTATTAATAGCTAAAAAACAACGCCAGATATCGTTTTAGTGTAGAAGAAAATTTTTGCATAGACTTCTTACATAGATTTTGTAAAGACGTTCGGTGCGATAACATGTAGATTGTGCAATAGTAACACGTAGTTATAAAAAAAATATAACTTGGTCATTTATTAACGGATTTTAATTTTGTTTTCAGATTTATTTTGATCTTTATTTATATTACATTGTGTTAAATATAATAATATGAACTTCATTAAACTTCTTCATGAGGAAGTATTTTAAGAAAAAAAGAAAGAACTAAAAAGCACTAGAAATGAATGGACCAAAGATATTCAGTTCCCTTCCTTTCAACTAAGTTTGTAACTAAGATATTAATACAAATAGAATATGAGTTGTTTATTTAGTTTTGAATATTAATTTATTTCTATACATGTAAGAAAACCGGAAGAGTTGTCATGGAGAAATCAAGAAAGTACCTAGTTTGATTACGGGAACTTATTTTTTTTTAATATCATTTTTTTAATATTTTTGCTGATCAGAAACTAACTGTATAAACATTATGATACATTATACTTACTTAAGTAATCGGAGTTATCTAGAATCGAAAACGAAGTAGGTACGAAAATAGGATTAATCCAGAATTTGTCAAATTTGTGATTTTGCAAAACAAATTCTGTTTTTCTTTTAATGAAAAAAAAAGAACGATTTTATAGGATGATAATGTAGAATACACGAGGTCCCTTTGCCTTCAATAAAATAACAAATGAATATAATCTGTAAAGAATATAAAAATTCCTCGGTAGAACAAAATTAAAAATAAAAATGTCAAAATAATTAGACCGCGTCTTTTTTATTTTCATTATAAAATAATAAATCGAAACTACAGCCATTTGGGGCGCTTGCTCTACCTGTAATTTGTACTATTATGTAATAAAATAATTATCTTAGATTTATTTTACGATACAATATTGAATTTTGTGACTAATAATTATCTTGCAACATGGTTCAGGTAAACAAATAACCCCTATCACCATGTGATTTTTGTATCTTAAGTTGACAAGTTTCTTTTATATAAATTTTACTTCGATTATTCAGGCTGGTGAAGAAATGGAGCAGCCAGACCTTCCTCAGGCCGTCAAGCTGCTTAAAGAAATGAACACAAATATACAGCAAGTTTCTCAGCTTGTAGACAATATGCTTGTAAGAGTGAAAACTGGAGAATTGACTACAGACAAAGGTTTGAGTTTTTTGGAAATGAAATATCAAATGCTTTTAAGTTATCTTATTAATTTAACTTACATTGTACTGCGAAAATGTTCTGGTGAAAAAATCGAATCTGATCCGTCCATAGACAGGCTAATTGAAATTAGGACTATCTTGGAAAAGATTCGACCGATTGATTCCAAACTAAAGTATCAAATAGACAAACTTGTTAAAACTGCAGTTGTTGGTGTTGTATCTGAAGATGATCCACAATCATACCGTGCTAATCCTGCTAATCTAGTTAGCAAGATAAACAGCTCTGATGATGAATCTAGTGAAGATTCAAGAGATGAAGAGAATATAAAAGATAAAGGAAAGTCATCAAATATTTATGTCCCCCCAAAGTTGGCAGCAGTACATTATGACGACAGCTCATCTAGAATTGAAAATGAAAAGAAATCTAAAGAAAGGGCAAAGAAACAATTCTTAAATTCTAATGTTATGCGTGAACTGCGTGAGGAATATTCAGAAGCACCTCTAGAAGTTAGCTCTGGGAATAATTTTAAACAATCTATTTCTAAATATGAACAAGAAAAAACAGAATATGAGGAGAATTATCTAACACGTTTACCAGTTACGAAAGCTGAGAAAAATCAACGAAGAAAACTAACAACAGTTGGAATGTTGGCAGATGAAGTTACTGGGCATACTGGAAATCGCAAACGCAAAATAAAATCAAAGAAAGGTAAAGGTTTTAAGAGAAGGCGTACTCATTGAGTCTAATTTAGCTTTTTTGTCATGTTGTCATTTATTCTCTATAAACATTAACAGCCATAAAAAGTTTGGTTTATAAATATAAACCAACATTTTTACAATTTCCTGCCCTGATAAGCTAAATTTACCTACCCTTTAAGTAAGGTACTGACATTTTACTTTGACTATAGTTTTAATTATAATAATTATAAGTGAACTAAAGCCACTATTGTATTAACTAAAGGTTAGAATCAATTTATAGTTAGTGGTAAAAGAAACTTATTCATGTGATGTTGTTTTAAATCATTATTTAATAAAATTTTATGCAATCTGTAAGCTAGCCATGATGTATCTTAAAAAAGATATAGACTTGTCCCAACATCCAATGTCACAATGAAAATGCAGTTTCATACTTTTGCCAGAAACTATCTAATAAAGATTAAAGTCATCAATTAGATCAAAATTTGTTAAATTCTACTATTTCTATCTACCAGTTGTAACACTGCCATCTGCCATCTTTCTACTTTTTGCTGTGTTCTCTTAATACCATACTAAGTGTACAGTAAAAAACCTTAAAACTGACAGACCTGAACTGGCTCTGCATATTTAAAATAGAAATCAATATATTTGTGAACTGTTTCACATATAAAGCTCGCTATGTTAAATTCAGGATATGTTGAAAATTGCTTTTAAGCATACACCACATGATATATTTCATTGTCGACCTTTGTTTTTATACATATTCATCAAATTACCTTATTTTAATTATGTATACCGCGTGTTACAAAAAAACCCGTTACCCCGAAAATGGCATTGAGTATACATAAAACTGAGATAATGGACGCTGTCCTTTATATCGTAGCCAGTGTATTTATTGAAAAAAACAATATCGAAGTTTAGCAAAATTTTCGATACCATTTATCGAAGCACACCGACATTATGATCAGCTGTTTCAGTTCATTGACTTCTAAATCAAAGACTATTATTTTGCCAGACTGGTTATATCTACTGGTATTTAGTGCCTACGTCACAGTACAGCGAAATAATTTATCTAGTTATGTGTACATACGCAAATATTCGAACATGCAAAATATTACACGAAAACATTATTTTAAAACTATTTCCAAAATTCGTTTTTATTCAGATTAGAGCTCCCTTTCCAATATATACCTTGCCATATTACTATGCCCGTGCTACGCACATATCAGGCACGGAAACAAACAATAAACAGTACGCTATAGTCACTGCACTGGATTAAATACTTTCGCCTGAAATGCTCGTACAATATCTCTTTACGAACTGTAGACGGCCCATCCAAAATAATAATCTTTATAATTAATGCTACGACACGTCACTCAATAGTGTACTCATAAAATCAATTTCATCTAATCTAAACAAATAGAGAAGCAGAGGAAGAAGAAATATCGCGACCTCTAGATAAGTAGAATATTCGTTATTGCACGAACAATTTTTTTTCATAATTAGGTAGTTTCATTTTTATGAAAATAATTACAATATTATGAAAGTAGGCGACGTATATCACTGAGTGTCTTCCAGGTAACTTTGTCTATCTGTAGCTGCTTCATCTTTGAACCAGAATTTTTACACATCGTGTCTTTAAATCATGATAACCTGGTACTCGTACCTACAATCTTCTGTTACGAAAGTAAACCTAATATGACGTCAGCGCAGATACAGTCGGGGAATAAATTGAAACATTGATCAATATTCGTGTACATATTTCAATTGTGTTTATGGTCAATTTATTTCTTTTCTGATATTTTTACAATAAAAAGATCAGACTTAAAATGGAATATGAACCTTAATCGGGAATATGATCATTCCCGATTATGGTTTCAACCACTTATTCTTACTACATGTAAATTGTTTCAAGTAAAATGGATTGCTACCTTAGAGTTAATGATATGCACTACACTTAGGTATCTTAAAAGCGTCTGACAAGAAAAAATGTCGACAAAGAGCCGCTTTCTGAATTGAGAAAAGTACAAAATCTCAACTGAATATTCTCAATAACTGAAGTTTTTTTATATTTCACTAGTCAAAAGTCCTAGTTTTATCAAACTGCTAACAACTAATTATAAAAAAAAAACCGGCCACGTGAGAGTTGGACTCGCGCAGGAAGGGTTGTATCCGGTGCTAAGAAATAACTTCATTAGCTTAACTCTTAAAAATATTTTTTATTGTTTAGGTATTTAAATACGTAAGACAAATCAATACATAATCGGTAAAATCGAGCCTTAAACAAATTCACTTATTCCCCCGAGTGTACAATGACGTAAGATAGAGATAGAGAGGGAGGGAAAGGGATAGAGAGGGAGGGAAAGAGAGAGAGAGAAAGAAACGAAACATTATCGTTCGTGTTTGTGTGATGTCGCGCGCGAGTGACTACTTGACGCTAGATACGGTAGTAATAAACATTTGGTACGGATTTTAATTTATTATCTATTTTATTACTGTGGTTTATTCAACTGAATTTTAAAATCAGAGTATAGGATTCACTATTTTAATGCTGTAAGAAATGAAAATGAATGAGACGTTTTATTATGTACTGTTTACCTATTTCCTTAAATAGAACTAAAACGACCGACACAGTTAACAAACAAATGGTCATTTATTTGAAAAATAGTTCAAAATAGAAAAGGTGTATAAAATGAATTAAAATTTTAAACAGGTATGTCGATTGTATGCAGATTACTACGGCCCACGAAATACATTAATTTATTTATTTAACGATGTCTTATGATAGTCGATGCTACTTCCTCTCTACAGACTGAGCCAAGCATACTCGTTTGCAGGTGCAGCGTGAAAGTATATCACATTTCTCACTTAAACTAGTCTTTACCAAACATTAACAACGTTTAAATTTGTAAATACTAAAAATACAACCATGTACTATCTTATCAACAACAATAAAAATTTACAAAATCTTTGTCAATTAACAATTCCTAATACGTAACGTTCATAATACGTAACGTATTATGTACTTACGTACGTATGTAAAAAAATTAGTTGCAACAATGTCCTGCGACGATTTTTTTAATTTGTACAATAAAATGTTGATCACCTCGGTACTAGGCAACTAGAAGTTTAGGCTCAAACTTTAACATTGCCGCCTGTCTAGGGTTGTCATCTATCCGTCTTTAGCGGGACATGTTTGACTTTTTAGATTGTGTGCAGCTAAATGTTAATGTCACATGTCCGGCGGTATAGTTTTCATAGGTTTTTGGTATACCTGTGCCGTAGCTATATCAAATAAACTATGAATACACACAAATTCGAAAAACGTCAAATACCCAAATACCCAAAAAGACGCAGTGTTGCACGGGCATTTGCGAAATTTGAATACAAATCGTTAGTTTGTTTGCATCATATAGTCTCCGAAATTACTTTATAAAAAAAACCTTTTTCAAAATAGGTTGTGCAGTTTTGATGTTACGATCAAGCCTTATTTTATGAATTCACGTTTTGGCTGTGATAAAAGCGTTAAAATTATGATGTAGTTATCTTATCTTTAATTACCGCTTATTTGTATGTTACGTCTTACTACAAAATCAATTGAAAGTTGGTGATTTTTGCTTAACGCACCCTCTGAATAACTAGGCAGTAACCCTCGCGAAGCCGTGAACTAATATTACTGTCTACTACGGTAATATTGTTTTACGGCTTCGCGAGAGATTTGACTTAGTCCGGCTTTAAGGACAAAATTTCCGATCTAATAAGAGAAGATGGCAACCCTATCTCGCTACTTCTCAGATTTAATTGCGGAACTATAGGTACCTTTCTGTGCGCCTTTGACATGCCGCACACTATGCAGCGGCTTATAATAAAGGACTCAAATTGGCGGCTTTCCCTTTTTATCACTTTTTCTTTATTCAGTTGTTCATACGTCGTCGATGTGATCACGTTTCGAAAATGTCCGTGTTCTCTAATTCCGAGTTCTATGAAAAGTGCTTTTATCAGTGTTACATGGGATGCAGTGTTGTATTGATATAAATTAAGACTATTTTGAAAAGATGTAATTATACTGAAACGTCAGTGAACCAGAAGTTGGCCGCGATCTTTAGTTTTTTCTTGTGGAATAAAATTAAGTGCCTAATAAAGTGTAGGTGAGTGAACCTCACAAGTAATGCTTAAACAGTGAATAAGGAAGTGAAAAGGTAAAGTACAAATAGTAATTCGCAAATATTTACGACATAATTCAAAAACGATTTTGGCGTATTTAACGCCAAAATCGTTTTTGAATTATGTCGCATATCATTTTTTTTTTATTATCGTAATATCAATCAGATTTGTCGGACCATTAAAGTATGAACTAAAAGTTAGACTCGTATATCAGTGTTTAAATAAATTTTACCTATCTATCATAAATAGGTACAACTTAAAATGGTGTTTGATCTGTAATTCAGAAACAGCTGAGTCGGAAACGATCCTATGAAATGATGTGCGCGTTGATAATAATATGTATTATAATTTTTTTTACTGAAATTAGACTACCGGCTGAACAGCGTCGGTTACCATACCATTTTGCCAATGATTTGATTCCTATTTAATTTCTTTTCATTTTATTTTCGATCGAAATAGGTTAAGTATTTACTGTGTAAACTGGCAAACGCAGACATGTTTTTAAGTATATTTTCTCTCTCATTCTTAGTGTGTATGTGTGGGTGTGTACTAGGAGAATAGAAAAAAAAAATTAGAAAACATAGGAGATAGGTAGTGTGCCATTACTCCTGGTAAGGTCATTAACCTAAAATAGTGATGTGACATAGCACACTCGATGTATTTATTAATTATTAAAAATTAGCCTTTTTACTGAAAGTTAAAAGTTAATGCAAAGGTTTTGAAAATTTGGCAGAGTACTGTTTATATGATATACTTCAACACCCTTCAGCTATAACGGGTATTTTTGTAACACCCGGTATATTAATACGCCATGTCTTCGTTCATCATATTCGGTCTGTATATACTCTATGGGTTATAGCATTGTTAGATCCATCAATAGTTCTTGTTTTATTGCTATACCCAAAGTATTATGTAAAACTGCAGAGCAGCATTTCTTTTTCTTCAGCAATTATGGATTTTTGGGAAAGCCTGTGCAACAGCTCTGCTCAAC